AGGGAGGTCGCATAGGGTTGACGAATTCCAAGCGAGGCAGAGTGGGTCGGGCGATACATTGCGGAGAGACGACGGCAGGTGAATGACGTCAAAAGGCGTATCGTGACGTCAAAAAGTAACCTGAATACGGGACTTCTCCTATTGGGATTTTCTTCCCATGATCTGCACAATTTCAACAATATCTCGTCGATAGATTCACCTTCTATGGTACGTATTTAGCTCGTTATTAAATATCGCGAATTTACAATTCATTTTTAAGGAAACATTTGTTGTGGTTTAGCGTCTGCTTGAACGCAAACTCCTTGATACAGTGTTAAATTTGACCCTTTGAGCTTCACTGCACCACGACTCAGGTTAAGTTTTATTTATACAAACCCAAATTGAATTAACGAATAAAATTTTAATTACAAGCATTTATACAGTTTTGCGAAAGAAAAACCAGAAGATACCTTAAAATTATTGGTCGTTTATATTAAAAAAAATCTGAGAGTGCAAAGGATTGACGACTAATCAACGGCAATCGAGAGAGCAGGAAAAGTATCGTGGAACAAATTCGATGGCATCGGCAGTATCACGAGGATGCAGGACCGTGTTAAGAAATTAAGCTGCGAACAGACCGTTTCGCTATTTTTACGAATCATTGTGACGTCAGAGGAAGGGAGCGAAGCGAGCACTTGAATGTTTGGATTATCCAAGAATCCAGAAGGCTCGTGGACCAACTTAGAGGAAATTAGATTCTTGTAGAAAGAGATATGGTTGCCTGATCATCCTAAATCCGGTCACTATCGCTGCTTTGGCTGTTATGTTCCACTTAATTTCGCTTCCAAATTAATGACAAATTGAATTCTTAATTTCCACATTCAATTAAAGCCTTCTGCCGATTCAAACTACTGTATTCTTGCAGCGATCAAATTTCTTCGCATCTTCACGGCCCACCGACAAAATTTACAAGAAAATAGTTGCGTTAACGATCCAGAAACTCAAGAAACAAACTCTTTAAACCTTCCAAGAATAATTCAACAACTTGGTAACTTCGCGCCTGGAGTTCAACTTGAACTCGAGCAGTCGACCGTACTTGTGCCTTTAAAATCAACAACCCTTTCTCCCGTTGGCTCGTTTTCTACTAGCTGGTAGAATTGAACAAGCAGAAGAAGGGACGACCTATGGCGAACGAGGGGAACGTGTAACAGGACGTGACCCCACAAATGGAGAGGAGGGTTGGAAGGTGACAGGAAGGAAGGGAACAGGGGTTTGCTAGTGGAATACATCATTGGCATTGCTTTCGCGTTGGCTAAGTAGCTGGCGACCTACTAACCGTCCTATGAAACGCGATCATCATTAGAGATCGTGTTTTCCATCGAAAAGACATCTCACCTACGCAACGCACGCTGTTATCACCGAGGATTTTGACTGGCCCGAACAAGCAAGATAAGCATTATTTACACACAGTAAATTCTACAGTATTTGCTGAGCATTATCACAGTTGCGAATAACGTTTGCACCTATCGTTTAAGAAAACAAAGTGCATACTTCGCAATATTACTCAGAACGTGTTCGGCACTCCTGCTCAACGTTAAATAAATTTTATCGAATTTTTTTCCCAGTAAATGAGAAAAATAACCAGATTGATATACATATATAAAATATTATACAAGGGTACTACATCGAAATTTTAACAACTTACAAGTGGCTAGTTCTGTAATTACGTTTGTTAAACCACCAAACAAATATAAGTTTTTATTAACATTATTAATGGAATTAATATGTCTAAATCTAGAGTAATTTAATCACGGTTTTAACAAAAGAAAAAATTTTGCTGATCGTCTAAGACCATTTAAAAAATTATACAGAGTTATATAGTCAAACAGGAGGCTCGATTTTATTAATTTTTTTGAACTAATTAAAAGTACAGTTCACAATTAAGAAAAAAAAATAATGCAATAGTATATCTTGGGTTGTTGAAATACCCCACGATATAATTGATACGAAAATTGATTTCATCCATCGATCATTAATGATCCTCTTTTTGCCCTCCACGATTTCGCGGCTATCTGCTAAATCTGTGAGTCACTTGCGGTCGAACGCGATCGATTTCTGCCCAATCAAAGGTGCAGGCACCGATAAAAGATACTATCGTCGGCGCATCTCTCGAGTGGAACGTCGGCAATCGAGCAGGGGACACCACTTGTCTTCGAGACTGCGACGACTTTATATTTCGAACCAATTAAAGACGATTAAGACAGCTGCCGCGGCAATTGGCCGGCCAATCGCGACGCGAAGCTCGTCGTGTTCTGGTTAGCCGTCTTTTTTCTACTTTGTCAGTATTCGAACCGACATGATCGCATTGTTTTATGTGCATAGAAGCCAACCCTTTCTCCGGGTTAGTCGATTTCATGAGAAATCACCGGAGCTCGATCGTTCGAGACAATTACGTATCTTCATACTTGTATGAAATGTCAAAGAAAATTCGACTTCACGCAATGCTATACCGTACTGTTTACAAATAGCCAGATAGATAAATATAGAATACTGTTGCGGATGCGCTGGGCTGGACATCATGTTTAATTTTGGTTCGTGAAACAGAACCAATGATAGAACAGAAGAAAATTATAAACGTATAAAAACTGCAATGACGATTATTCGATGAACACGTCAGTGCCTCTGATATCGCAGCATTTTATTAAGAATCATTGGCCAAGTCGTTGGGTAACGCTGGAAGATCCAGCGTTGTACTCGGCTATTTCATTACCTTTGTCGTACATTTTCTCTGTGTGACTCATTGACAAAGTAAATAATGTAGCCGCAGAAGTCCATGAAAAGCACCGCAACGATAACGAAAGCAGACACATTACGTGCAATTCTGGTCGTTCGCATCCCTTTCGCTATCGATCGCTTTTAAATTGACTCCAAGACAGGAACATTGTTTTTGTGGTTCTCAAGAACTCGACACTCTGTACACTAGTAATTTCCAATCGTTTCGAAAGGTGCCCACGCCCCTAAAAAAAAGAATTTTTGCGTACAAGATTTAAGGACAAAATATACTTGTTATGTTTATATTAATATTGTAAATCATTTTTAAAGAACTTGTAATTAAATGCAATCCATACAAATCTCTAGCATTAATAAATAAATTGTATCCACTATATTCTATATTAAAAATAAGTAATATATTTCTATAATATAATTTTCTTCGACGAAAGTTTAGAAATGGAAGCACTTATTAAATGAGATATAAATACTGTTCAAGTTAACCAAATTTTCTTTCATGACCCTTTTGGATTGTAAGACTCCTCCCCCAAGGTTGCGCCTTTTACTTTAAAGACACCGCCGTAGACGGTAAACCTTGAATTACAATTCTTGTAATTTTATTGCAACTCTTCCGAACGTTACATATTTTTGTAATAAAAATGTGAAAGCGAGGATATATATGGGCGCACGATTAATAATCGTCAACCAAACTCATCGGTCGTCCGATACGTAGCCCCGAGCAATAATTATAAAACATACCCGATGATGAAAGTGTCATATTTTTGGAGAACACGTGTACTAGATGTACAAAGAGACTCGGCGGTATTTTTATCCGGCGGATTCACGTTTTTGCAAAAGCGGCGCGGCGCCGCGCTGCCGATACCGATGGTTTGTTTTCGCGCAAATTTCGGCCTCGTCGCATATTATGCAAGACACCTTTTATTGCACACGTCGTGTCGTGAGATAACTCGACGCAGACATGCTCGTAGATAAACGACAATAACACCGTGTCACGGCAAAATTATATCCCGACATCTTGTCGTTAATTTCAGGCCGCGAGTCACGTTAATTTAGCACAATTCTTTGGAATAATTATGAATCGTGACAAGTGATGTCGATACGTGACCTAAAATGAAAAATTAAACATAGTCATAGTTAGAAGCACGAAATATGTATTTTGCAATGGTAAATTATTGTATGCAGCCGCTTAATAATGACTTTTCAAGATTTTATAACAATCATACTACTTTCGTTATTTCAGTCGGTACATATTATTATTAAAATGTTCTTATATAAAATACGCGATAATAATCAATCTCTTGTTTATTCTTAACGTTCTGTTAAAAAATCACGTAAATATTTAAGACGCTATTAATAGAAAGACACGATAAAATTGTTGTCCTCGATGCGTATTTGCCATATCGTGTACGTAATGCGATTTATACCATTTGAATTCACAATGAAAATCACTCGAACATGTTGATTATTCATGTATTAGAACAGAAAATGATAAACAGCGCGTTTGGAATATTTTGCTATGTAGTATATAATATACAACGATATATGAGAGTTTAACAGTTGAAACATCGTTTATTCTACGCTATCGTGAACAGGAAAATTGTAACTTCGGAAAACCGACACTTCGCGAGCACCAAGCTAATAAATACGAAACGCAGGCGAGCATTAACAGATAATGAAATACCGACGCTCGCACCGTGAATTAATGGCTATTGATCCCCTATGTAAATTTGCAGTAATCTTAGATATCACCAGCCAACCAGAGCTTCTGTTAAAAGGCGGTTCGCCGCGCAATAATTCTGTGACCGCTTGCTACGCTCGTTAACAGCTTCCATCTCTCGGTTACTTTTATGTCGTGAAAATTCTTGAACGAGGAAAGTCTAGCTTAAGCAGGAAGAATCTCATTACCGTCATGTTCTGACTCACGAACGGAGTCGATAAAATTTTCGATCTTCGAGATACCTCGCATCCGTGCTGAAAATATTTCCAACCGGAACACTGTCAAATATTATTGCGGGACAACCAATCGGGAGAAATACAGTCTCGGGTGTTAAAATAACCGCGATGACGGAACAGGAAAATTTGACAGCGTAGCCTAGGTGGCCGCCATGTTTGCTGCTCGTATCGAGTCGAAGGGCCGACCAGGGCCGCCGCTATAAAGGCGTTTTATGCCCGAACGAAAATGCGATAAGAACGAAATATCGACGATGAAACTGAAACGATCGTTATCGTACCTGGAGCTCCCTAACGGAGCTACGATTGCCAAAATTCCCGGCTCGATGTATCGGCCTCTCTGTTCCACAAACGGCACCTCTCTCGCTCTCTCCCTCCTGCTGCGGCGGGCCTTCTTCCTAGCCTCGATCTCTCACATCGATGACTGTGCACTTTCCTTTTCACACGTCTCCGTCTCGAAACACCGTCTCGACGAACAGAGCGAAAACTCACTCGACGACGACAATGACGACGCCTAACGACCGAGACGAGTCTCTTTCCACCACGGGACTATCTCACGACACCACCGCAACCGTCACTTCTTTTAAGGTTAACCTAGTCACTGCGTGCTATTGAAGGACACGAACACGAGCACAACGTATCCGGCGTTACGTTACGACCAGTCGAACGACACCGGTGTTCAGGCGATTGTTTTCATGAATAAAAACTACTACACGAAGCGAGCGGAGCTGCTGTTGCTGCTACTGCTGCTGCTTCACGGCTCTGGCGGGCGGCAGGGCGGGGCTCCGTGCTTCGAGTCCCGTAGACCCCGTACACCCCGTAAGAAGTCGCCGGTTCACGAAGAAACCCGAACACCGGTGGCGCTTCATTCGTCTACTCCCGCACGCCGCCATTTTCGAAATATGCCCGGTCTTCGGTTTCTAGTAACGCCAATTATGACTCTACCAATAACAAAGTTATACTTGCATATATAGAATATAGAAACTAAACAAACCTACAAAAGCTGATACGTTGCCTAAACATCAGAGAAATAGAAATATTAGTGATATCTCGAAATACAGGAATTCGAAAGAGATATAAGGAGCTGGAAACACCCAACGGCCGAATCCACTATGTTAAATAAACATTTATCAATTTCTTATTTAGCATAGAATTTAGTGTTATCAGAATCAGCATCCATTTTACATCAGTCTAGACAGAGAACAATCATAGGGTATCAGAATTTTAAAATTTATGTTCGAATTAAGGAAGTCTCGGGATTATATGTATGTAACGACGTCATTAACGAATTACAAATGTCAAAAAAAGGTTAAGAATCAAGGTCAAGATCGACAAGTATACGTAAACATGATTTAAACTTTAGCATCTAATGGAAGACTGTCACATGACTCGGTGTGACTCAGAGTTACAATGTGACAGAAAAATACACATCTGTACCAGAGCCCTCTTACCGTAGCAATGTTAAATACAACGTTATTGAATTAGAGTAGAATATAAAATTTGCATTATTAGCGACAAAGATTGAAACGAACAGTTTCAGAAAATAGTTTTCGATTAAGTAAGCTTTAAGTGTTGTTTGTGCCAACCACCGCTAGATGCCTATACCATTTCAATGTACGTTTCTTTTGTAAATAGGTTATCAATAGACTATTATCGTAGGCAATGTATAGAATAGTCGTTAAATAGACTTTCTGATTTTTTATCATTTCGGTGACACATCCAAAGTTATCGATTCAGAATGGAATAAGATAGCAGTGCTATCAGCTATGAGAATTTAAACTAAATGTTGCGAAAATTACGATTTGAAAAACTATATGGCATTTTATAGTGTTTTGCATTAATTTCAGAAAAAAAATATTAGTGATTTACATAGGAAGTTACATTACAGTTATTAATAAAAATAGTGGGCTGTACATATTTACATAAATAATTTATTCTCTTACTGATGATATTAAATTCAATAATTCTTATTTTAAGGCTATTATAATGTTAAGGAATTTTTAAAAATATTTATTTACTCTACTTGTGAAGTATTAATTTCTATGTTATGAATACTGTAAATATTGAACTTGAGTATATAGTAGAAATTAATAAGAATTATATAATGAATTCGAGTTCGAACATTAAACGGGATTGATTAATTATAATTATGAATATTTAAGCACAAAAATGTTTTTAAAATGATGTGTAGATGATCCACTCGTGAATTGTCTTCACTGTCCAACTATTGGATAGCAAAATAATTATGTTAAGTTATACTTTTCTAATTGCAGTTAATACTGCCTAATAGCTATTTTGTGAAATGAAAAGATTTATCTATTAATGTTTTCCATTCGCAAAAAATTAATATTGGTTTAAACAACGAAATATTGAAAATATTAATTTTAAAAGATGAAAATACCGTTTTCTGATACCTTGTTACGCGAATATCTATAAAGCAGAATAAAATCGTGATTTTGTAACTCTTTATTTTATAATTTAAATCAATGGAACAAGTGTTATATTGGAATTATCAATAATATTTCTGCGACTTACAGTTAGTTATTTTTGCACTTGGCTGTCAAAACATAAAATATGAATTTTTAACAATTTTGTTACATTTATTATCATTTTCACTTTCGAAGCCTGACGTTAGCTTCCTCGTTTTGATAGAATTTTTTTTTATTCTTGTATAACGAACAGTTCTGCTTTCTAAACTTGTGTTACATGTCGACACGCTACAATTTGTTTAGTGAGAGCTCACCGATCGATAATATGTCGTGTGCAATAATCCGCATTCAAGTATTACTAAGAATACGTTTTCAAAATTGTATGTATTATTGAGCCGTATTTAAAAAATATATTAATTTATTTTTGTATTTTAATACTGTGCAAAATATTCATAGAAATGGACAAAATTCTTACCTACGATTACGTTTTATAATATAACATCATATAATCAGGCCTGGGTATCTGCATTCTCTTATTAAATGTGGCAAGAGTTATTGCGTTTTTGATTTAAAAAATGATCAAAATGTTGATCAATTTGGATTTTAAGAAGAAGCTACACTTAATTATGAGAAACTATACGAAGAGGATCGCAGTCAATTTGCTCATATTATTTACTATAGTATAATTAATAATTATATTACCCAAGTAAGACTGATATGATTATTAATTACCTACTAAATAATATTGATTGCCTAGGTCTCATCAACTTAGAGGTTATCACGAATGGAAACCTGTCCTAACCGACTTCAGCCACCTTTCATTTATACGAAGATTTTTTGTGAGAAACGATTGTGTATAAATCGATGTTCGAAAACACAATAAATGAAGATCTTTTCAGAAGAACGAGAGCCTGATCAAGACTTATCGAAACAAAAGACGATCGAACACAGATTAATTATAAACGAGCTCTTGCATTTGTAAATAAAATTAGCCTTCTTAACATAATGACTAATATATGTATAATAGATAACCAAACATTACAGTGCTTCCCTTTTCTTACCCTATGTGATTATTATACGAGTCTGCCTAACTATAAATCTAAATTGATAATAAGACGTATATAAAAATTTTTGAAAGATACATAAGAATGTATCCTAATTAGATAAGTAGGATGTAAATGTTATTAGATTTATAGTTAGGTAGGCTCTAACAGTATGTTTCAGGTAGAGACAATAATAAAAAACATGTTTTCTCGTATTTTATTTATAGTTAGGTAAGATGCAAATGAAATTAGATTTATAGTTAGGTAGGTATTTGGTTAGCCATTACCTTAGGCAAGCTGTTTCTATTTGAATGTAAACTCTGGTTTTGGTTCAAATAGTCACAGTGGATGGAATTCGGTTACGGCGGGTCTCCATTCGCAGCAACCTCCACGTGGTGAGACCTAGGTAATATTATTTAGCGTTTAATTAATAATCATATCACTCTTAGCTGGGTAATGCAATTATTCATTAAAAAGTAAATAATATGAGCAAATTGGCTGCGATCCGTCTTGCAATAGGTCATCATAAATATAGAGCTTCTTTACTAAGTTAGTTTTGATTCTCGTAATTGGTAGCGCTGCTATCTTATTCCATTCTGAATCGATAACGGTGGACTGGACACCGAAATGATAGAAAGATTCTCGAGTATTGTCACAGACGAAGTATACGAGTAGATCTTTCACCACAGACGAGGTATACGAGTAGACCTTTCACCTAATGTATTTTTTCGGCCCATTTTTCTGGGGCTCTAGAGCCTCATTACCATTTTCGTGTCACTCGCAACGTTATCAACAGATTTAGAAATTAACACAAGAGGAAGTGAGACAGAAAATAAAATTACAGAAATTTTAGTATTTTTTAACGGAATGAAAGCTGTACGGTCCATCATTGGACAGTAATCGATTAATTTCATTGGAGTAATCAATCGATTAAGATTATTTAAAAATTTCAAGATTATTAAAATACCTAAGGATGTATTTCATTGATACGTACACCGCAAATTCTCTATTTTTTATTTTAAATTGTAATACATCATTTATTAAAAAAATAACTCGGCAGAAACGTATTTGCGACTCGAAATCAATTTAATCAGACTGTACATCGGGGCCCCAGAAACTCCTCATTCCTTACTTTCGCACACTATGCCCAATTGTGTGTACGTGAGCTCGTTGAGTTTCGGAAGAGCCGAGAAGAACAGGCTGATACTCGCTTTCCTTCTCGCTCTTGCATCGCTGACGTCGCTTACATTTCTCGAAAGCAAGCTTGGCATCGCCACCCGTTCGAATCGTCAGTAAACGACAAAAGCCATCGTGACTGACAGACCTTACATTTCTCGAAATCGGACCTGGGCGCTTTTTGAAGATTCATCGACATATGATACATATAAAAAAATGTAAGAATACTGTAGAATTTTTGCAATGGAGAATTATTGAAGGAAAATGAATTGATTATATACATATGTGTATATCGGACACATCCCTCGCAAACACGCTGCAAACATTAATGAGAACAAAACTGCAAATCTGTCCTTTTTTAAAACCCCGCAACTGATCTTTGACTCGGAACTCGTCCTCTTCATTTAGCAATTATAATAAACGTCGACTCATTAAAATTCGTAAAAATAACAAAGTTATAGCCATTTAGAGGGAAGAGTACCCAACGGTTAATAATCATACCAGAAATTTTAAATGAGTTTTTCTCGAAACCATATTTTCGAAATTGGCTGACATGATATCACAAATTCATATTGATTAATGGATTTGAAATTTATAGAGACATGCCTGTATGTTAGAAATTTTGCCTTTGACGGTTCTGGGGTAAGTCCTGTGCCGTTCCTCACAGTGCTCTTACCGGAAGGTCCCACGCCTTCCCCACTCCGTGGCCAGATCCTTCAGGACAAAGTCTTCATTTTTTCCAGCAGTACGACGTCAGGTCGTCTGCCTCTTTTAACTACTCTCTCTCTATTCATAAACAATCAATGCCTCGACACGCGCTACCTGGAGACCCAACGCGGTCGTCCGCTATCGCGTCACCCGTTGCCAGGCCTGTTTAGTCTCATTCGCTCTTTAGGCCACATGCACCCCAAAACTCTGTCATAAATGTATCGTAGACTGAGCGTCCTTCAGTGGTCCTTACATTCGACTCTCTTGGAAAATACATTGTCGCTAGCGTTTCTGGAAAACAAAAGCCGATCCCCTATTTCGGGGGAATGTCCACGCGTCGCGTCCAACTATTGTTGCCGTGGCGAAATCGACTTTTTTGCCTTCGCCTTCGAAAAAGATTAAGCAAAAGAGTTCT